ATGCCACTTTTTTTTGGTACAAACAAATGCCACTTTTCTAATGCATGATTAGGAGGACAAAATTGTAGTTGGATTAGTAAAGTTATATGGTAAGAATTGGTGGCCCCCCAGAATGGCAGTAAGCATTCCTGAATGCTTTGGAAAACTATGTCAAGAAAGGTAATCTTGCAGGTTCTCCTAGTTGAAATATATATATAAAAAAAAAAAAAATATATAAAAAAAAAAAAAACATGCTCGTGGATTTCTGAATATTTATAAAAAAAATTATTCCAAGTAGATAAATAATCGCTGATTTAAATTTGACATTGTTGGTTGATAGGCTGTTGAATCGAAATATGATCAACATTCATAAAGTTTACAGAAACATATGGATGAAGCTGACCAAATCCTTGCCCACGAGGTACTTTCTAGCTTGTTCGCGCACGATTTTTTGTCAAAATTGATCTTGAATGAGCATTTTGTTTGTTGTCTATACTTGCTGCTATAGCTAAGAGTGCCGTCAAGAAGCAGTGGGGTATTTTTACTTTTCCTGGCAAGGAGAAATTGGGCCAACTTTCGGCTTCAGGACTAAGTTCACAGTTTGATAGCCTGTCTCTTGTGGGCCTTCATAATGGCCCATCAACGTATATCTCGTCTAAGGTCTTGCCCGGAAGGTACGATTGTGTGTGTATATTTGTATATATTTTAGATCATTCATAAATTGCCGAAAGGCTTTATTGAGGCTTGCTTTAACGTCAGTAATATAGTGAAACAGAAGTGGGCCCGTACGAATTCCTGCAACAAAAATGACCGAGTCGAGGAGTAAGTTACTGCCTTGGTATGAAAAAGATACAACACAAAGCAGTATCAGTCGTGAGGCCGTACAAATTCCAACAACAAAAAGGTCCGAGGAGTAAGTTACTACTGCCTTGGTATGAAGTACACAGGAATCAGCCGTCAGAGGGTGCAACTCATCAATTACGTCACAAGTAATTGATATGCATAACTTTCCAATATTAACTGATATGCATAACTTTTCAATATTAACGAACCAACTAAGGAATCAACCTGTCCGAAGATGCAGCACATCAAGTATTGATAAACCAAGCTAGACCCATTTTTATCAATAGTAACAAACCAACTCGAGTCTTAAGATCCGAACTTGAGCTATAACGAGTCAAGCGGAGCTCCCAAGCTAAGGTTTCTTAAGTTAGAGCATGCTTAATGGTGATGAAGTTGCAGAATGTAATTAATTTAGTGCAGTGTGTGATGGGAGCACTTTCAAGGAAAATGTAGAGATCGTTGTTATATTTTATTTTTTTTCCTATTTCTGTCACTTAAATATAATTGAGTTTGAGGAATCGTACGCATTGTTGGAGGAATTCATTTTTGAAATAATTTGATGAAATTGAAGAATCACCATAACTGTAGTGAGTTTTTGTATGAGGTGAAAATATGACGTTTTTTTTTTTTTTTTTTTTT